TGGGAGGGACGGATCCGTTTCGAGCCTCCAGCCACCACCCTGTCTCCAACCTGTCCCCTCCCTCACCCTCCCTCACCCTCCAACGCACCTGCGATGGCCTCCCCCCCAAGCCCTGGGGGCAGCCGGCGGGCGGCGCTGGAAGATCAGAGAACTCGGAGGAGTGGGGCCCAGGGGGAGGGGGCGGGGAATTTCCCCCCACGCCTGCCCGGGCCTGTTACCCTCCCCCTCCCGCGCCGGGGGCAGGGGTACAGCCGGGGAATTCCATCGCGCTGCGAGGGCTCCTGCGAGCCTGGGCTGGGGGGTCTCGGAAGGAAGGGGGAGGGGAGAGGGGGGCAGGCTGGGACCAGGGCGCAGCTGCCTTCTTCCCCAGACACCAGCTGCCCCTGCCTGTCCGGGACTGAGTGTCCACCAGCCCCGCCTGTCTGGAGGGGGCAGGGGCAGGAGTGGCACTCCCTCCATCAGGCCAGAGGCGTCGGGACCTGGGGAGCGACGGGCGTGAGGATCGGAAAGAGGGTATGCGTGTGTCTGACAACCGAGTGGGTGACTGGGTGGGAGGGATGCGTGCGTTTCATCTCAGGGTGCTGTGAACGGTGTCCCGGGGCGTGTGGCTCGGGGGAGGGTCCTGGATCTCCCCCCTTAGGGCCCTCCCCACACACTGCCACGGGAGCCTGCACGCACCCTGGGAGGCGGGAGGGGGAGGGGGGAGGCGCGCTCCTGGACGCCGAGGGTCCCAGGGCAAGTGAGGAAGGCGTCCGGACCTGCTGTCTTCGCTCCAGTCTCGGGCGGGGCTTCCCGGCCTCAGGGATGGGGGGCGGGAGGGAGGGACCCAGGAGGGAGGGACCCGCTGAGGGACCCGAGGGGGGCAGGAGCAGCGCATTAGATCCTGGGCTAGGGAACCTCAGAGAGCGAGGTGCAGCGGGAGGAGGAAGGTGCGGAGGCCCAGGCCAGACCCTGAGCTCCAGAGGCGGAGACGGAGAAAGCCTGGCCAGATCCCCCGGGAGACCCCCCGGAGGGACAGGGCAGAGAGGGGCCTCCAGGGGCAGAAACCCTGGGAGGCAGAGCCCCCGGGAGACACTTCCCCGCCCCAGACGAGAGTGCTGCCCAGGGTGGGACGAGGATTCAAGGTCAGAGGACAACGCCTCCCCCCAGGTCGCCTGGGAGACCCCGAAGCGACCCCGGGGGTGGCACAGGTCGTATGCAGGCCTGGGCGACCTCTCCTAGGTTGGGGGCGATGGGGACAGGAGCCCCGCAGACCCTCCTTCTTCTCCTTCTCCCAATGCTGTCGCCACGCGGGGCCTCCGCGGGGAGCCTGCATACCCCAGGTGAGTCTTGGCCAGATGACCCGGCCTTGTTCGCACTCCCTCCTTCGCCTCCCCGCCTAGGGCCCGGGTCCCGAGCCTGGGGAGGGGTCAGAGCAGGTGGCGGGAGCAGCCGAGCCGCCCCAGGGCCCCGGGGACACCAGGGGCGCTAGCTGCGGGGCCGGGCAGGAGTTGGCCTCGTGTGGGGAGGGAGGGACCCTTAGGATGTCGGGCGAGGCTCCGAACCTCCCGAGGCCCTGCCGTCGCCGTGCAGGCCTGTCCGAGTGCTTCCAGGTGAATGGCGCCGACTACCGCGGCCGCCAGAACCGCACAGGCCCGCGCGGGACCGGCCGCCCGTGCCTCTTCTGGGACCAGACGCAGCAGCACAGCTACAGCAGCGCCAGGGACCCCCAGGGTCGCTGGGGGCTGGGAGCGCACAACTTCTGCCGGTGAGGGGCGGGCCGGGGGCGTGGTCTATTGTGGGCGTGTCCCTTAGGGGCGTGGTCTTCAGGGGCGGGGTCTTGTTGGGGGGCGGGGCTGAGTCCACTATTTCGGGCCTGGGCCTGAGGCCGGGGCTGGGGGCCGGGAGCGGGGAGAAGAGGCCTCGGTTGGACCGGCCCAGCGGGAGGGCATGGGACAGGCCTGCGCTGGGCGCTCACATTTTCTGACGCGGGTCCGGCCTTAGGTGCCCGGCTTCTGTGCAGGCCTGGGTACCGGAGGGCCCGTGTGGATGGGGCCAGAAAGCGATCTCCGGCGTGAGGGGCCGGGCCTTGCCCTACAGCGTCTTTGAGGGGCACCCACTGGCGGTGACCTAGGGACTTGGGGTTCAGAGACACAGCTGCTGTCGGGAGCAGCAGGGACCGAGCTGAGCGGGAGGACACTTCTCTGCGGGTAGAAGTCACCACTTCTGCCGGGAAGCGGGGCTCGAAGGCCAGGCAGCGGCCGAGGCCCTCGGCGCGGTGGGGGAGGAGCACTGCAAAGGCACAGTCCGCAGCCCAACGCCTAAAACCTGCCCTCGGGGCCCTCCATGACTTCCCGCCGTCCGCGTGGACGTCTACGCGCAGAACGGGGAGTTGCTGCACCCCGGGGGGCGGGGGTGGAGTGTGGGATTTGCGGGCAGCAGGATCTGGACCACCTCCCCGCCGCAGGAACCCAGATGGCGACGTGCAGCCGTGGTGCTACGTGGCCGAGACCGAGGAGGGCATCTACTGGCGCTACTGCGACATCCCCACCTGTCACAGTGAGTGGCCGCTGGACACGGGCGAGCGCGGGCTGCCTGCGTGCGGTTCCCGAGGGAAGGCGCCAGACAGACCCCGCGTCCCCTGCCCCCTCAGTGCCCGGCTACCTGGGCTGCTTCGTGGACTCGGGAGCCCCCCCGGCCCTCAGCGGCCCCAGTGGCACCTCTACGAAGCTCACGGTCCAGGTGTGCCTCCGCTTCTGCCGCATGAAGGGCTACCAGGTACTGTCCACCGGCCCCGGCCAGTGGCCCCTGACCTTGACTGAAATCAGGGCCCAGAACAACTCCCAGCGCTGACACCAAACCTTGATACTCATCTCTGGGCCTCCGGTCCGCTTCCCACTTCCGAGCCCGACCCCGGGCGCCCACTGCCCCGCCCGTACCCCAGGCCCTGCCCCTGGCGTCACCCACTCTGTGCCCCCAGCTGGCGGGGCGTGGAAGCTGGCTACGCCTGCTTCTGTGGCTCCGAGAGCGACTTGGCTCGGGGCCGCCCAGCGCCGGCCACCGACTGTGACCAGATCTGCTTCGGCCATCCCGGCCAGCTGTGCGGCGGCGACGGGCGCCTGGGAGTCTACGAAGGTGAGAACGGGGCGAAACGTGGGCAATAAGGAAAGGGAAGTGGGCTGGGGGCGGGGCCTGAGACGGGAAGTGGGATGGGGGCGGGGCCTGGAGAGGGGACTTGGACTGGGGGCGGGGCCTGGAGAGGGGACTGGGCCGAGGGCGGGGTCTGGAGAGGGGACTGGGCCGAGGGCGGGGTCTGGGACGGAGCAGGATTTGCGGAGGGGGATCAAGGGAAGGGGCCCCGAGGAAGTCCGGGGTCAGCCTGGGGGCGGGGCCTGGCTGGGAGGAGGCGGGGCTTTGGCGTAG